CTCCCAATATAATAACTTTACCTTTTGGCATAAAATGGCTTATTTCTGTCTCTAATTCCAAAAAAATATCACACTCATACTGACGGTAAAATGTAGAATTATTAGGAGGAATGTAAACAATCCTCTATATATGTCGTCTCCTACATTATAAAATATATCCTGGATTTTTAACCATAAAATTGAGTCGCACTGGTTTTTAACAGAAATAACATTTTAATGGAATTTTTTCTTGACCAAAATCACTGACCCCCCCTCCCTGTATACTTCTACTCTTTTGTCTAGGAAAGTAATAGGAATCAAAACCTTCAATAGAACCATGGTAATCTTTTTCTAACCAACATTCGGTCAAAAGCACAATATCATAAGTAAGAATGAAATTTTTGAAACTCTTATCCTTAATTTTTTATGAAAATCCACCATTATATTCCATGAAATTATTTTCAAGTTGTCACAATGTTCATTTTCATGTCTGTCCTATCCATTATTTGCTGTGTCAACAGGTTCCGGAATATATTCCACACCATCTATGTACAGTTTGTCTCTTATCAGTGATGCTCTCTTTCGGTGACACCTTGCCTCATTCATTATGGGGAATAATTTACTTCTCACCTCTTGTATTTTTTTTTTTTTTTTTTGGAAACTGTTCTTGTATACTGAATGTGGTACCCACAAGTTTTGGAGCATGTTCCCGCACCTTTTCTCTCATTCTATAGGAGCTAAATTTTACTACAATTGGGCGTGGCTTCTCTCTCTCCTCATCCACTTTTCCTATTTTGTGCACCCTCTCAATACTTTCTCCAATGCACGGTAGATCCAGTTGTGTTTCACAGAAATCACTGTTTAAAGCAGCACAGTTCTCCCACCTGTCGCCTCTATATAGAACAACAGGTTTTCTCGCATGCTTCTACATTGTAGGTCAGTTATTGTATCTTCCATTGTTTTCTGCGCTTTCTCTAGTTCAAATACTTGACCTTTGACCTCGTCTGACGTTTTTTTCAGTAAGCCTATTGCCTTGCCCATATTTCCTGATGTTTTCTTAAGGTTAGCTAAATCAGCTTCAACTGTATGAACTTTCTATATGACTTTCTCAAGTTTGTCATTTATTTCGTTTATCTTGGAGAGTTTTTTTATCAATGATTGTGAGCTTTGTAAATATTTCCCTAACCCAAGTAGGTCACCCCTGTATGTTGTATGGGTTCGTGTTCGAATGGGCGGGTGGTGAATCTAATTTATTACACAACTGAATCAATGAATCATCACACTCACCACTGTCCGTATCTAGATCTGACTGTAGATGTATTTCCTCCTCCTCATTCTTGATATTTCCTTCTGAGTTAAGATCTTCTTCCATCATGTCAATGTTCATATCCACCACCTTGGGTAGCTCAGACTGCTCTGATCCTGGACTTTGGTATAGTTTGTATCTGACCTTTTTGTTTGGGTTACTGTTTTTCCGGGGTTTTTTTTTCGCACCATTGGTCTTAGTACCAGTCTGTTACATCAGTTTAAGGACGGTTTTCGCATTTAACATTATAAGAACTTACCAATATGAACTCACCCCACTACCACAAAAAGTTACATAGATGATATATCTAAGGATGCACACTACTGGACTTGCTTCAGATGCTGTATCTGACCTACATTTTCCTGATGAGTGACCAGCTGGTTAAAGTTTTTGGAGCAGGTCGATTGCCAAGAAACTATAAGGCCTATCTTAACCAAACATGCATGGATGATGCATCAAGGGATGAACACTCTCAAACTTGCTTCAGATGCTGAATTTGACATATTTACTGGATAAGTTCATTCCCAAATAACTGCAAGCCCTATTAGACCAAAATTGCATAAATGTTGCATCTAGGGATGCATACTACTAGATTATTATTTAGTGTGGGACTTTACCTTACTTTAAGGGTCCTCCACACACCCCCAACTTATGTTCTCATATTACTGAGCATTACTTTTAACAAGCATATCAACCTTTAAAAACTGGTCAACAATTGAAATATAATTTACACTGATTTTTTTAAAATTTAATTTCATAAGTTTTAAGATTTTTTCCCCACCGAGTTTCTATAAGTAGCACAACAAATTTTGTGTTCTCCTGGAATATATTATTAAGCCTAGAAAACAACCACAAAAACTTAATTTTATCACTGAGGATATTTTTTTTAAAAATTAATCAAAGCTATAAAAAATAAATATAACTCATTTACTCTAAAATTCATGGAGAAAAAATTATGGAAGATTCCTGATAGTATAGAAGAAACAATAATGAACTAAATTACAACAAAAAATTGAATCAAAATCAAATTTATTGAATAGGAAAAATTATTTTCAAAATCTGTGGTATCAAAGTTCCGTTTTGAGAGTTATCTTTCCTGTTACCCAGGACTCAAAAACTTTGGTAAGTCTCCGCATACGTCATCATACATGTATTCAGTAACTCGTTATTCACAACTGAACAGGACAGATATAAATGAGCAAAACTAGAAATGCACACTTTATCAATATTTATAAACACACAATGAGATAGGTATTATTGAAACGCACAAATCAGTGTACAATAATATCAACTTTTCACAAGAGTCTTGTTGACGATATTGCAATGGATTTATTAGCCTAAAAGTATAATAAACATTTTCGAGTAGATATACCTGTTATTTACGAATCATTATGCAACAAAATCTCAAATGTCTGCTGTTTTTTATTGAAAAAGATCGACACTTTTTCTTCTTTCGGTCACGGTGTGATCATGCCATGTGTTCATTGTTTATGTCATCAGGGTGTCGCTCTCGGTTGACTGCATACTCTTCCTTTGACAAAACCTTAATATCTAAAGCATTTGTAAGACTCTCTTACAGGCAGTGCCAGTCAAATCGTCAGTGCACAAACTATATAAAACCGGAAGTAAAAGTATTTTTTCTCGATATACGTCACAAGTCACGGGGTGTGGAGGACCCTTAAGACTACATTAATTTTGTTGAGGTGAGCTCTGTAATCTCTGATTACCTATGTTTTTTTCATGATATACTTTACAGCAATCTATAACAAATATAATGTTTCTTATGTGTCATTTACAAGAGATTATAGGGCTGTGTATTGAGCAAAAAATTTCGATACAATACGATATTTTATAAAGCGTTATGCGATATACTGTACGTGTACTTAAAAAAGTGGGCTTCATATTTTAGCGGCTTTTGCGCAGAGAACAATGCACTGAGTCACGAATACCGTTAATAAATCATTTATAAATACAATACGGCACGGATGTATGTAGTGCTAATTCATGATTACGCCAACCACTAATATCCTCGGATTACGCTAAATTTTGAATCCATCAATTTATGTACACACACAGTATTGGATTCTTTAAGAAGTCTATCAAAAAAGTCTTACCGTAAATCTGGAAATCTTTACTCTAGATTAATTTTTGCGCGAGCACTGCATTCGCAAAAATATTTTTTTTAAAAATAAATCAACAACAAAAAAGGTGAACAAAAATTTTGCTGACAGCTGGTGTTTATGCTTAACCCGATGAACAGGTGTTCGTAAGCAGTGGTCATTTTAAGAAATATTTTATACTACAAGCTTATTACCCATGATAATCTGTGCCTTAACTACATTCAATATCGTCCGATAGTTTGACAGGCAGTTGGTCTCTTAAATTATTTCTCCAAGAAAGAAAGGCCTGTTTTATCTAACAATGAATCCTTAGCACGACAGATTTTTAATAAAGAACTTACTCTCGTGTATAATGAAACCCCGACGAAAGAAAGGAGATTGCAAGTATATGCGTAATTCATTGTATGCACACACGTAACTTATAAACTGTTATGAAACGTTTAAGTGCTTTTTATTTTTAGCGCCAATGATAATTTGCAAAATTTTAAAACATAAAAATTAATCAACACCTTTTTGACCCAGATTCGCAAAAATATATCGACGTAAAAATTTCCAGATTTATGGTATAAGACGGTTAATGCATGAATTTCATAAAAACTAAGTGTTTTAAAACCCATCTCCAAGTTCTTGTTTCACTGTCATTACAAATTACACTTCAAATTCAAACTTTTAACGAATGTAAAATCAAAGATAAAGTTGTCTATGTATTTTGTAATAATTATTTAAGATGTGCTATTTCCATAAAGATTATATCATAATTGATCAGTTTAAATTCAAAACAGTAAAATATTATCTTTGATGATTGAAAATCCCAACTTTTTCACAGAATTATAAGAAAAACTGCCTGCCCAATACGTATTGGAAGTTATTTTTTTTTTTTATATGATACATTCTTGAATATCAGTACATATCCATATATGGACACAGCCCTACAAGAGAAATTCCACTTTTCCCATGGGTGCAATTATCAAGCAATGGTCAAGGAGAATTTTGATAACAGAAAATTGCATGTCAAATTAGAGATTAATTAATGAGTTTAGTGTAAGGAGATTCTGGTAGAGCATCTCTGATCAAGCAGATGCTATATCTCTTGGGAATTGGGCAGTTGATAGATTAAATATTTCTTGTTGGCAAGCCATTACTTTCAAAATAAATTTGGTGTAAAGTAATTAAAATAATCTAATTTGATATTGTATCTTGCATTTTATTTTAATTTTTATATCTCTATAACAATTTGTTCAAATTATGACCCTGAGGGGTAGGGTGGGGCTACATCTATAAAAATAAGGACACCTGGGGGTGTGGTGGGGTCACAACAGGCAGCAAAGTCTTACATACAGGAATACATGATAGAAAAAAAATCTGATGATGAAGAACAGCAAGGCCATAATGACTCAGGTGAGTGATGTGGTCCATGGGCCTTTTGCTAAGGTATCGTCTGGAAATTAAAACGTTATGCACAGACAGATTAACAGACTCAAATTAATATCCCCTGCTTTAAGTAAAAAGGGGACAAAATCATCACAGTAACTGATAACTTTGTCTAAATCATTATTTGTGCTTCCACAACCTTTGAAAACTGATGATCTTTTCAGGTTATTTGGTTTCAAGATTCACCCTTCAGCGTACAATGTACGGAAAAGAGCATTAAAAAGTGAAAGCAGTTCTTCTTCAGAAAAAGCTAATCTTCCTGAAAAAAGTGATCAGAATCAAAAACACGAAAAAGAACTTTTGTCAGAAGAGGAAAATGGTCATCACAGTGGAAAATGCAAAAAAGAACTTTTGCCAGAAGAGGAAAATGGTCATCACAGTGGAAAATGCAAAAAAGGACTTTCCTTAAAAGAGGAAAATGATCATCACAGTGGAAAACGCAAAAAAGATCTTTCCTCAGAAGAGGAAAATGGTCATCACAGTAGAAAATGCAAAAAAGGAAAATTCAAAGAAGATTCCTCAGAAGAGGACCATTATTATCAGAAAACTAGGAATATAATGGCCTGGATGAATGACCAGAAACCAAGCTGATCAGGTGGAAAGTTATCATCACAATGGAAAATGCTAAAAAAAAGAAAAAAACAAAAAACTATTCTCAGAAGTGGAAAATGGTGACTATGAACATTAAACAACGTAACCATCATCAGATAGGATCATCTCTAAGTCCGGAAGTAGTTTTTAAGGAGAACAGCAATAAATTATTGTTTATTAATTTTTGGATTTTACCCAATTTATGTTTTATTTGTAAAGAATGAGTAAAAAAAATACTGAATAGTAAATAAATGGCCATGAAATTCAAAACAAATCTTTAAAAATCTTCAGTAGGGCTATAATAATCTTATAAATATGCAAGCATCCTCAGTGAATGCTGATTCAAAATTGTTCAATTCATGGCCTCAGGGGGCTAAATATATAAGAAAAAATCTGTTAAAATCTGAAGAACCACTGGACCATGATTAGTTGTATGCAAGTATCCTCAGATAGGGCAGAAACAGTGGGCTAAATATATAAGAAAAAATCTGGTTAAATCTGAAGAAGAATCACTGGACTATAATTAGTTGTATTCAAGAATCCTCAGATAGGGCAGAAACCAGTTTGTTCAAACCATTGCCCCAGGAGGTTAGTGTGGGACCACAATAGGAGCTAAAATGATAGGAAAAATTCTGTAAAAAATCTCATGTGCAAGCATCCCAATAAAATGTAGATTTAAGTTTGTTCAAATCTCTAGTAGGGGCTAAAATCATAGGAGAAATTCTATAAAAATCTCTGAGAGAGTGATTAGTCGTATTAATTAATATTCCAGCATCCCGATGTTGTGCAGATTCAGGTTTATTCTAATCATGGAATGGGGGGCTAGGAATAAGCTATTCTATCTATAATAATATGGCACAGGGGACTAGGAACAAGCTATTCTATCTATAATAATATGGCACGGGAGACTAGGAACAAGCTATCCTATCTATAGTAATATGGCACGGGGGACTAGGAACAAGCTATTCTATCTATAGTAATATAATGAATATTTTTTTAAATTACTAATAATCTTCTTTTCAAGACCTGAATAGTCATATTGTGTAAGTATTGACAATCAGTACAAGTTTGTTCATCATGGAATATACAGGAAATGTAGAAAGTATCTCTTGAAATTGATAGACTGGTATAAGCTATTGAGACTGGTACATGTATAAGCTTTTGATAGACTGGTATAAGCTTTTGATAGACTGTATAAGCTTTTGTGGGAAGTTGGACTATATAGCCCAGATACAAAAAAAAATCATGGAAATAGCTTTTTGTGGGAAGCTGGGCTTTACAGTTGTGAATATCAGTCGGGATATAATAAACTGATGATATAGGTTTTTGTGGGAAGGTGTGCTCTATATTGTTGTGGATATTGGCCAAGATACAAAAGACTGATATATCATATGAGCTTTTGTTGGAAGTTGGCCTTTTTACGTTTAGTGGATCTTGGCCTGAATATGAACTTTTAATTTGCATCGGATTGAAATGTCGCATTTCCATTGGTTTAAACATAACACGTGACTGGCGACTATATTTCTGTCCGGCAGGTGAAATTAATATTTGGCAATATGGCCGACGCGTTGCGACGATATTGGAAATCAAATTATAAAGGGAACCACTGTTCGTAATAGTTTCTCTTTGAAATTAGAGTAGCGGCCCTTTTAAGAAATGACGTCCGATTTTTTGTGTTTGCATCACAAGTGATTGTAGCGTCGAGATTCGTTCAAACGAGAGGGGGAAAACATTTAAAATTAGGCCTGAACAGAAACTTTAACAACAAAATGTCTTTCTTTGGTTGTTAGTGCGGGAATTAACGTCGCAGCTGTTGTAGAAAAAAAAAACATAACCCGCTTAGGTTGATTTTTTTTCTGCAATAGCTGCGACGTTAATTCCCGTACTAACAAACAAAGAAAGACATTTTATTGTTTACATTTGTTATCTGTGTATAAAAAAAAAAAAAAAAAAAAAAAAAATTCAAGTAAAATTAAATACATTAATTTATGAAGGAGCCGTTGCTCAAGAATTCTATGCAGGTGGCTTGCCTAGTGGCGTTTACTGACTGATAAATGGCAGTGTTTTTATAAGAAATAAAGGAAAAAATATTCAATGGATGTATTTTATATAAATTATTAAAAGTTGACAAAGGTGCCTCAAAGATTTTTCTAGATAACTTGACAGTACAGGCCCGTAGGAAGCAATTTCAGTTGAAGGGGGTGGGGGGCACAGCCATACATTTTCAGTTGGGGGGCACTATCAACTACCAAAAATCCCTTGACAAGCAAAAAAAAAAGGCAGACATTTTTATTGAGGGTGCACAAGCATATAGTACGTACGTGTTCTATAGTATTCTTGAGCCCCCCTCCCCCCCCCCCCCCAGATCATACGGCCATGCGATATCATAGAAGGTGAGATTGATCATTTTGAAGAGTTTGATTGTACATGTATGAAAAATTGGACGGGACTCGATAGTCGAAATGTTGGTATATCTAAATTAAGAGAATTAAAATATATTGTATTACATATATCTTGATCATCACTTCCAGCAGGCTCGTGGTACTAATTAAGGGGGTGGGTGGGGGCTCCAACTGTTTTATGATTTTTTCCTTTGCTGTAGATTCTATATATCCCCCCCCCCCCCCCATGTACAAACACACACTTTCTAAAAATTGTTTGCAAGTAGGGTGGAAGGTCTGGTCCGCTTCGCCGTCTACGATTTTCATCGTATGTAATTGATCAATCGGATATATTTCTTTAGACAGTCGGTAACAATCCTAATTTGTAGTGTTAGCGGTGTATCTACAAATTTTGACCCGACAATAAGCACTCATGCAAATCAAAACAATACTTCAAACGAAAGCACGTCTTAATGTGGAGGTATCCCATATTACCTGAAGGTGAAATATCCCTCTGTTCCAAATTTCACCATTTTTTTTTTTTTTAAATTCCCAACATTGATTTTCATCAACAACAGTAGCATTAGATTCAAATGGAAAATAGTTTGAATTATGAAGCGTTGCTTACTTTTTCAGAAATGAATATTATATCTAATCATGATATGAAGAAAATTTGACATGGTAAGTAGAAAGGTAAATATTTTTCTATATCACAATAAAAATATAATTTAAGGTATATATAAAAATTATATTTACTATCATACCTATCTAATTCGCTTTAGAAAACATAATGAAGCGTTGCTGTTTAAATCAGAATATCACATTGTTTCCTGTGCTTGTAAAATAAAATGCATCCATCTACAAGAGTTATCTTTCCGTTATCGTTCTTCAAAATATTTTTAGTGAAAAAAATGTTAATTAATTGATTATAAGAATTCTGCATCTGAAATTTCTGTAACAATAAAAAGAATTATATGTTAAAAGATAGAGACATCTCAATTTCCTTAGTTTAAAGGAACTGAGTATAAATGTTTTAGGTAAACTATTAAAAGTAATTAATAAAAATATTGGCAATAGAAACCAATATTTGTACGATTGATTAGACTTGAATGAGTTGACTATAAAATGGTCCTCATAACGAGGATTGTCCGGTAAAATCGTGGACAAGTTGTCTATATTGAAAAATAATCATCACTGTGTTCTAAAACTTTCGCTACTTTTTAGTACATTTTTCATCAATATATATAGCAAATTTCAAATAGATATATGCTCAAATAAACAAAATATGAGATTTTATGTACTCGTATGGTATCGCCTTACGGCGCACGGATGATAACGTCAGTCTCTAAAGCAGTGTCACGTTTCCTCTTTGCTAAATAAAAGTTGGATAAGCCCCACTTAAATTCGGGGATTTCATTGATGAACATACTTGATTTTCCCTTTATTCCCCTATAAACAGTCGAGGAACCAATCTCGCACACACCTGGGACCTTCTGAAGATTTATTAGTAAGTTATGGACAGTGCTCTCACTATCATTCAACTAAACAGGTTCTCCTATATCGACGGTCTAAAGTGACAGCGTCTTTTGCTATTGCCAGTAGCTGTTTGTCCGTATGTTTTGTTCTACATATACCCGGAGACCCGATCAAAAAGCTTCCGCTTAGAAAACTCCCATTTACTCGCGGATAATCCATGACACTCCGGGCACCAAAATGAATAGTAAAATTTTAAAAAGTTCATATTAAATTAACAGTTCCAGTGAAATAAAAAGCAAGTTCATAATCACTAAATTAAGAGGTCCATTCACGGATTCTTTCTTGTCAGAGGTCTTGACGACAAAATCGCCGAGGGTTTTTTCATTGACTTTAACGTTACCGCTTTATAAAAGTGTGTTCGAATCGGCTCTTAGCTGATCACCCCAAGTAAATTGAATTCCGTTTAGTCAGGTTGAATTAATTTAAAAAAAAACAAACAAAAATAAAAAACAATATACAATTCTCGTAGACAACTGGTTTCTTAAGATGAATGAACTACTGCGAAAAATATAAGAAGAGTTCAAGGAACAAGGTTTTTATAGAAAAAAGCCCCAAGGGTGAAAAGGAAAAGTACGAAACATCTACAAGACATGACCAATCATATTCCAAAAGATGATTTGGCTGTTTAAAAAAAAAAATATGAGGAGTTAAGGGAACCAGCATTTGTAGAAAAACGTCTTTTTTTTTTTACCTCCAACCGCCCATGGGGTGAACATCGAAATTCCGAAACCTTATTGCACGTGGACAGGACACTCTCAGAGGTCCGTGTTTGCTCTGCTCCCGAGATGTATATTGTTTAGATGGACTTTGAGCTTGAATACTGTTCTCCATATTTCATCTCAATCCTATTCCAAAATATGAATTAATAGACTATTGCGAAAAATGTAAGAGTTCTGGGAATTTTTTTTTGAAAAAAAAGTTTTTTAACCCCCATTTGGCTCCTAGGGTTAAAATGAAAATTTAAATACATGTATCTTTCTACACAAGTTCAAGGCACCTCCAAAAGAAGTGTTGGCTTCTGATTAAAATGTAAGATTGGTTTGAGGAAGAATAGAGTGTGACTTACGAACCAAGATAACAATATACCCGAACTTTTTGAAAAGTTCGGTATAAAAAAACATTTTGCTTTAGTGTATAGAAGAGGGTCATTAAGCTATCTACCGACTAGGAGAATTTAGCATTAAACGAATACATACCGTTTTCCTCTCGAATCGGCCGCCATCATGTAAGTATAGACCACCCCTGATCGGGTTCACGACAGTGAATAAATTAGATGCTGTCATAGACCAGCTATACCTGAACGTTAAGTGTTTGCCTCTGAATGTACGCTAGCTTCCTTATACTTGGTAGCAAAGAAGCCACATAAGTTATTCTATAAACATAAAATATGCACAGATCTATCAAATTGAGCATAAAATGCACAGGTGAGCATATGACAATGGGTTTCTTATGTCAAAATTCATTACCGGCCTGAAATTAAATGTAATGAAGTAAAACAATAAAATCTTTCTTTGGTTGTTAGTTTGGAAATTAAATGTTTTTGATATCATTGACAGCTGCTTTTTCAATAAAAATGGAACTCGTAAATTTACATACCTTGTCATTGGTCATTTGCAAAATTATTTTGTTAAAAAACATTCTGATTGTACTCACAAGTACTCTGAAGTTGAGACGAAAAAGATGCTCGAGTTTCTGATTGACAATATCTATGTGGTTTTTGGAGACAAGGTCTTCCAACAATCTATTGGAATTCCCATGGGTACCAATTGCGCCCCGTTATTAGCAGACCTTTTTTGTATTCATATGAAGCAGAATTTGTCCAAAATCTTATACGTGAAAAGAAGAAAACACTTGCTGTGGCCTTCAACTCGACATTTAGATATATAGACATTTAGATATATTAGGCAATATATGTATTGTCAATTAACAATGGTTATTTCCATTCTTATGTCGATACGATATATCCTGGTGAGCTTGAGAAAAGAAGATGCCACAGAGTCAGACACATCTGTTTCATATTTGGATATTCTACTTGAAAAAGACGTTAATGGTTATCTAACAACCAAGCTTTATGATCAACATAATGACTTTAACTTTTCAATCGTCAACTTCCCTTACTTATGCAGCAATATACCTTCATCACCTGCATACGGGGTTTATATCTCTCAGTTGATTCGATACGCAAGAGCATGCTCTACGTATGTACAATTTCTAAAACGAGGTAAATTATTGACAAACAAGTTGATGAAACAAGATTATCAGCAGTCTCGTTTAAAGTCATCATTTCGTAAGTTCTATGATCGATACAATGACCTTGTCAGCAAATATAATTTATCATTGAGTCAAATGCTGACTGACGTTTTTCATACTAATTGTTAGGCCATTATTAACACACTGAATTGTCGACGGATTTTTCCGTTATTTCCCGATCATGACACGGAGCACACGGCGGGTGTGACCGATCGGCAGGGGATGCTCACTCCTCCATGGCACCTGATCCCAACTCTGATGTTTTGGAGGTCCGTGTTTGCTCTGCTCCTATTTTTGTATTGTTTAATGGACTTTTGAGCTTGAATACTGTTCGTTATCTCCATATATTTCATGTTGCAGAAAAAATACATAACCCGCATATGCAAAGGCGGATCCAGGGCCGGCGCGCCGAGCCCCCCCCCCCCCCCCCCCCCGTTTGAATTTTTTGTATGTAGAACTTGTTTGTCCTTTATCCCAAAATCAAGGAAAAAACATCTCTTATTTGTAAGAATCAGCTGACTTTGCCCTAGACTCACTGGGGGCTTCAATGCAGCCTTCAGACACCCCCCCCCCCCCGCCTTCTACTGCCCCCCCCCCGTTCTGAAATTCCTGGTTCCGCCACTGGTAAGCGCTTTTCTGCAATAGCTGCAACGTTAATTCCCATACTAACAAGCAAAGACATTTTATTGTTTATATTTATATCTGTATAAATAACCATATAAAGTGAACTGAAGTCCGTTAAATATTGTATGTTTCTTTGATGGAAGAACCGCTGCTCAAGAAATCTGTTCAGGTTGCTTGCTGCTTAGCATTCAAGGTCAAAAGCTAAATATGTAGTACCCCAAAGAAAGGATACACATGTGAAATATGAAAGTCATAGCTCCAACTAAGGCCATTCCAAGTTTTTATGCCCCCGTATCGAAGATTCGGGGGTATATAGGTTTTGCCCTGTCCGTCCGTCTGTCTGTCTGTTTATCTGTTTGTCTGTTTGTCCGCAAAAACTTTAACATTGCCCATAACTTTTGATTGGTTGGAGCTATGGCTTTCATATTTCACATGTGTATGCCTTGTGACAAGACCTTTCTTTGGGTACCACCATATTTGACCTTTTGACATTAACCTTGGAGTTTGACCTAGTTTTACAAAATTTTACCCAACTTTAACCTTGCCCATAACTTTTGAACAGTTGGAGTTAGGGCTTTCGTACTTCACATGTGTAATCCTTTTGACAAGACCTTCCTTTGGATACCAACAACTTTGACACTTTGACCTTGACCTTGGAGTTTGACCTACTTTTAAACTTTACCCTTGGCCATAACTTGTGAACCGTTGGTGCTAGGGCTTTCATACTTCACATATGTAATCCTTGTGACGAGACCTTTGGATACCAACAACTTTGACCCCTTGACCTTGGAGTTTGACCTACTTTTAGAAAACTTTAACCTTGGCCATAACTTGTGAACCGTTGGTGCTAGGGCTTTCATACTTCACATATGTAATCCTTGTGACAAGACCTTCTTTGGATACCAACAACTTTGACCCCTTGACCTTGGAGTTTGACCTACTTTTGGAAAACTTTAACCTTGGCCATAACTTTTGAACCGTTGGTGCTAGGGCTTTCATACTTCACATATGTAATCCTTGTGACAAGACCTTTCTTTGGATACCAACAATTGTAATCCATTGACCTTGACCTTGGAGTTAGACGTACTTTTGGAAAACTTAAACCTTGGTAATAACTTTTGAAAGATTGGTGCTTCAGTTTTCATATTTCACCAGTATATTTCTTGTGAGGAGGCCTTTCCTTAGGCACCATTATTTTTTACCATTTGACCTTGACCTTGATGTTTGACTTCCTTTTGAAAAACTTTAACCTTTTCCATATCTTTTCAATGGTTGCTGCTAGGGCTTTCATATTTCACAGGTATATTCCTCGAGACAAGACCTTACTTTGGGTACCAACATATTTGATTTGCATTTGAGAAAGTTTAACCTTTGCTATAAGTTGCCATACGGGGGCATCAGTGTTTCACAAACACATCTTGTTTCTATGTTTAGCGTACGTTCGCGTGCGCCTTGGTTTTTTGAACCCAATATCAGAAAAAAAAACAAACAAAATCAGAAGACCCGAAATTGATTGTTCTGGTCGAAATCTTTGAATTCTATCATTTCCTGTAATGATCTGTCTCCAATTTTTCATATGTGGTATTTTAAGCATTTAGTACCTTGATTTTGTTAAAGTATAGATCTAGAAAGGAGAAAACATTTTTGAAATCAAATCATTTGATTGACGTTACTTTTATTACTACGAAGTCCGTTTTCTTTTCTTTTCTTTTTTTTTTTTTTTTTTTTTTTTTTTTTTTTTTTTTGCGAAAAGGTAGGTAGGTTTTTGAAAGATGGGTGGACGCTAATCATAGAAAAAAACTTGGAATGGCCTAATCAAAAGTTATGGGCAATGTTAAAGTATTTGCGTACAAACAGATAAACAAACAGATGGACGGACAAGGCAAAAACTATATACCCCCGAATCTTCGATTACAGGGGCATAAAAATGATTTAGCTACTGGGTAAAATGTATGAGGAGTTCCTGTAAAAACATCTTCGACCCCCTTTTGGCCACATGATGAAAACATTGTTCAAAACCTTATTGCACATGTACCGGAAAACACTTATCATGAACTGGTTGCTGCTTAAGGACCCTCTATACCACAGGCACTTGTTTCGTATACGGGGCACCCCCTACTTATTTTTACCAGTGAAGTAGGGGGTGCCCCATATACGAAACAAGTGCCTGTGGTATAGAGGGTCCGGTAAAAATAAGTAGGGGTGTCCCGTATACGAAACAAGTGCGTGTGCTCTATACACTTAAGAAAAAGTTTTTTTGGACATTGAGAAAATTATAGCATGTAAAGATATAGATATTGAGCTTATCTTTTAATTTTCAACACAAGGTACCTTGCATTTACCCCACAGGAGTTCGCATACCTATCAATTTTACCGAAATGTTCAGTATAGATAAAAGATATGTAGTACCTAGGTATTACGTATTTTTTATTTACTAAAAATGTCGGTAAAATTGATAGGTATGCGAACTCCTGTGATATTATTATAGGTGTTACGTATTTTTTTATTTACTAAAAATTTCGGTAAAATTGATAGGTATGCGAACTCTTTTGATTTACCCCCAGGAAAAATGTCCAAAGACAATGAAGTACTAATGAACAGAAATCACTGTTGTTTACTTGATTGGACAAAATACCTGCAAACGAAGTATTCAATCTATCCACCTTGGCCTATTAAAATGTTATGAATGCTTGATTTGATCACAAATTATAAGAAATACACTGTACATTTCAATTTATTTTACTCTAGAACAGAAGGCAGATTATATATTCTATCTGAATACCACAAATCAAAACTCTAGTGTGCAGTGTATAGAGGGTTCTTAAATTGTAAGAGGACCTAAATAAACAACTTTCTGTAGAAATAGCGGGTATGAAAATGTAAAGGATACAAGATTAGAAAAGAAAAAAATGTGAACACCTCCGACGGGACTCGAACCCGCAATCCCCGGCTTAGGAGGCCGGTGCCTTATCCATTAGGCCACGGAGGCTTTGTACTACTTAACAGAAAATAGGAATATATACCTTAAATGATATATTAGAGACCTTTTAATGAGATAAACTCTTTTAAATCATGTACATTCAACTTTAATGTCTCATATTGATATCTTGAGGGTCTGTCTAGGCTATAAAAGGAAAATTCGATCGTGCAGATCGCGTTAAACAGAGAAGAACTCTTGTGCAATGGGAGATAGGATTAGTCGTGTTATTGGAGTTCGGAAGTGAAATGAAACTCTGGATATTGCTTCTGATTTTTATACCGTCGTGTACGTATACTTTCTAATTGTTTGTATAAATTACTGTATTAAACATATGCTTGTAACAGTCCCAAGTATGAAAAAGATCCCTCTGCTCTGTGGCCGACTGTCGAATGCATACACTTTCGCAAGTGAATATGGTGGCGTTCCAATATAAATAGTGTAACGTTTTTACTAATACAAATGATTATGGGTTGAGTCCGCTTAGATTTCCTTCCTGGGAAGCACGCTTATATTAAAACAAAACAATCTTAAATAACTAAAAAATGGCACTTATAGAAAACAGACCGAAATGTGTAATGTAAACTTTTTCCTTGGTCCTATCTGGATAATGATTGTCAAACAAAGCAATAACGAATTATAACAAAAGAATCAACTATAATTAAACTAAATCAATGATGCCAACATAACTTTAAAACTTATCCCTGTAGCTGCAGACTGACAAACTAACAATTCTGTTGTTTCCTGACACAGTCTGCAAGTACCTGAAGCACGTACACCCTAAAAAGCCACTGAGACATCTTTATTATTTTAGAGTCTCCAAGACACTAAAGAACTAGATGTTTGAGCTGAGTGTTCTAATTTACAATTCTGTTGTTTCCCGACACAGCCCAAGAACCTAGCCCAGAAAGTGTTACTCAACCAATGAGAAACAACCAAGTAAACGAAAACTAGACGAGTGTCCATATTTATACTATTTAGCATCTGCTTCATTAGTATTGATTGGTTAATAACTGTAAACATTTGGTTGGCAGAAATGTCAGTGCTAATTGGCTATATATATTTAATGATTCGATTGGAATTCAATCCACTATGATTATTCTATATCATTACCATAGGAAAAGGCGTAGACATATAGCAAACAAAACAAACAGTTTCCGAGTGAGTTATCTGGCGACATTATAACATGTATTGGTGTTCTTCCAGGTGAAGCATTTGTTCGATGCTTTAGTTGTTCCACGACTTACGACACACGCTGTGGAGATGCCTTTGCTTTTACAACAACAGATGCATCCCAATGCCAGGGCACCTGTGTCAAAAGAAGGGGCACACGAGGTGATCTTTTTTTAAAACGTATATTCAGATCCCAAGTTTTAGATTGGGATAATCCTTATATTGGGTAATTTTGGCATTGGGAATATCTGGTAAAAAATCTTTCATCAAAAAGGAGTTGAATTGGCATTTTATATTTTGGCAGATTTTCAGTTTTAATACTCAGTTTCTGCAGGGTTTTTAAGGGTTGTAGGAGGCCTGTATTCTGTCCCATTCCCCCAAAAAGTGGTGTGTTTTTTTTCCCAATTTCTGGGTCTTGGGTCCTCTGTATGTGAGATTGATGCCAGATATTCAGTGTGGTCCATTGTCCTATACAGAAGAGAAACAGAAAAACTTGTTTATCAAAAGTTGTTGCTTTTTATATACTTTTATGTGCATTTACAACATTTACAGCTAAATAAATTATCTATTTATCTATCTATATGCAGTGTTAACTTGGGAAATGTTATCCCAAACAGGCTATTATATCCCATTTGGGAATTGGTCTTAAGTCTTAATCTGTGGAATACATGTACAATGTATGGCCTGTGGCCAGTTTTTTGGGGAGTTGATGTACACTTAAGTCTAACATAAAAACATGTTTATACATGTACTGTTTTTTTTAATATTGATATATACTATTCAGTACATGTAGTGCTAATGATAAACATTCTTTATCAATTGTGGTATTTGGACCATGACTTGTCTTTCTAAATATTTTGTCAGTTTCATATATATTGACCCAATTTTTATTTTTTCAGACATTAACGGAGTAAGGACAGTTGAGATTACTCGCGGTTGTATTCCACAGACCACTGATGACTGTCACGACGGGAACTATAATGGGATATCCGTCTACATCTGTACATGTAATTCAGACTATTGCAATAATGCTCAGGGATCAAAATCGTCTACAAGCCTTATTCTGTTGCTCACAGTGCTTCCTCTATTGTATAAAATCATGGAGAGATGGTAGTTTTCTGGGTCGGATGAATTTAATAATTCATGTCACATTCTTGTATATGTTGAACCAGTTAGGTTTATGCATTATTAAATATTAATTGTTTTATGAATATGAAGTCATAAGGAATGTGTTACATGATTATTCTTTTAATAATACATTTTATAAATATATATAAAATTAATTAAAACATCATGAGCAGGCCCAGGAATTTTTCCCTGGAGGGTTCACTCCCTCTCCAGAAAAAAAATCTTATTTTGAAAAAGTACTTCTTCCATCTGTACAAACTTGGCATGAATAACTCAGACTAGAGATTCAAAAGTATTTATATGTCTACAAGTCAAGATCTACTTATGACCAGGGCCTTTAATTTGTGAATTCCACATTTTAGAAGTTACAAGTGACAAGTCTTGTTAGATCACCTGAGCTATAAGCTCAAGTAAACTTTTCTACAATTAGGATTTTTGAATTCTTCAAATGAAGTCTACATACAAGCTCTTTTATGGGGAGATAACAAAAGGTGACAATTTGGTGGCATATTTTAAAAATCTTCTCATGAACCACTGGGGCAGAAAATACAAAACTTTAGTGAGATCTTTTTCTTAAAGTGTAGAATCAAAATTAATCAAATCATGCCGTCGAAAGAGGGGGGGGGGGGGGGTCAGGCCACAATAGTTGATCAATCCTCTACATGGGAATATATTGGAAAAAATCTTTGATAATTTTTTAAGAACAGCAGGGCCGTGATTATCATATTTATATGTGTGCATCATTAGGTAGTGCAGATTCATATCATGGATATGTAACAAATTTAAAAAATTTCAAGTCAGTAGCAGGGCCAGACTAATCTTTAAAGAATGCAAACCATTCCAGTTGTGTAGATTCTTTTTTTTTCTTCAAATTATGGACCCTGGGGTTAGGGTGGGGATAAAATCAGAGATCCAAATATATTACATGTATAGATTTGTCATTACCCTATTGAGCTACATGTATGATGGGTCATAATATGGGTCAAAATTTTTCATGGGAATAAGGAATGACAAAAAATCTGTTAAAGAATAGCAGGGCTACAACAGTGTGCATTGTGGCCCATAGGCCTATTTACTCTTTTTAGGTCACCTGAGTCACTCAGGTGACCTATTGCTATCTGGTTTTGTCCGTCGTGCGTCGTCAGTCGTCCGTCGGTCGTAAACTTTTGAACATTTTCAGCTTCTTCTCTTGAACCACTGAACCAATTTCAACCAATTTTGGCATATAGCATCAATGGGTGAAGGGGTACAAAAATTGTGAATTTCATGGTCCCTGCCCCCCTTAGGCCTGAGGGGTAGGGCTAAAACCATCAAAATTAGTGCTATCTTTAAAAATCTTCTTCTTTACTCCTGGACATCAAGCAGTCAAACTGTTGGCATGATTGTAATAAGCATTGAGCCCTCTACCAAAATTGTGAAATTCATGGCCCCAGTGTCAGGGGTTCTGGTGCTAGGGTGGGGCTATATAGATCATATAGTGAAAGTGCATTATTTCTTTGAAAATCTTCTTCTCTACTCCTGGGTATTATTTAAACAAATTAAATACATAGTTATGATAAGCAAGGGTGACTCTACCAAAATTGTGAAATTCATAGCCCCAGGGTCAGGGGTTCTGGTGCTAGGGTGGGGCTATATAGATCATATAGTGAAAGTGCATTATTTCTTTGAAAATCTTCTTCTCTACTCCTGGGTATTATTTAAACAAATTAAATACATAGTTATGGTAAGCAAGGATGCCTCTTCCAAAATTGTGAAATTCATGGTCCAAGGATCAAGGGTTCTGGTGTTAGGGTGGGGCTATATAGATCCTATACTGAAGGTGAATTATTTCTTTGAAAATCTTCTTCTTTGCCCCTGGGTATTATCTAAACAAATTAAATACATAGTTATGATAAGCAAGAGTGACTCTACCAAAATTGTGAAATTCATAGCCCCAGGGTCAGAGGTTCTGGTGCTAGAGTGGGGCTACATAGGTCATATAGTGAAAGTGCATTATTTCTTTGAAAATCTTCTTCTCTACTCCTGGGTATTATTTAAACAAATTAAATACATAGTTATGATAAACAAGGATGCCTCTTCCAAAATTGTGAAATTCATAGCCCAAGGATCAGGGGTTCTGGTGTTAGGGTGGGGCTATATAGATCTTATAGTGAAGGTGAATTATTTCTTTGAAAATCTTCTTCTCTGCCCTTGGGTATTATTTAAACAAATTAAGTACATTGTTATGATACGCAAGGATGCTTCTTCCAAAATTGTGAATTTCATGGCCCCAGGGTCAAGGGTTCTGGTGAAAAAAGGGGGGGGGGGCTCTATTGATTATATAGTGAAAAAGCAAAATTTCTTTGAAAATATTCTTTCCTGCTCCTGGTTAAAAAGCAAAGAAGCTAATTGTATAGTTATGATGAGCAAGAGTGCTTCTTCCAGAGTAGTGAATTGCGTGACCCCTGGGTCAGATGTGCTGGTGTAAGGGTGGGGCTCTTGATAATATAGTGAAAATGCATTAATTCTATTAAATAATCCTGTCTACTCTTAGTGTTAAGCAGATAAACAAAGTGATTACTTATGATGAGCAAACTTCTGGTCGCAGGGTGAGAGGATCTGGTGTTTCTCACTGGGGAGGGGGAGGGGGGGGGCTCTATTGATAATATAGTGAATCTGTAATAAAAATGCATCATTTCTTTAAAAATCTTCTCTGCACCTGGGCATATCAGAGGCAAAGAGAGTAAAAGTTTTAATAAGGAAGAGTATTTTTACCAGATTTTTGAACATCTGGACCATTTGGTCAAGTGTTCTGGTCCTGGCCAGGGCTCTATTAATTTGTATTCTACTGAGAGGAGTTATTCCCCTTTGCCATTTACTTTTGATAATTAATCACTGTAAATAATGTACTTGAAAGGTTAATAGAATAAGAGAATTATGCAAGAATTTTTATTGTATAATACAAAAAGTACTTCTATAGTTTTAATGATCAGGTGTACTTGTAAGTAATAGATAAATAAAAACGAGACAAAAATAACTTGTCTTTTTAAATGTTCATCAAAGAACCAAGAGAAGCCAATGTAAGAGATTTCAACAAGGAATTAAAGTTGTACAGAAGCACTGATAGTTTGCTAATATACTGTATGATGATAGTGATAAATGGGGAACAGATTAGAATCTAATTTATGAACTGTTAATGAATACTAGACTAATTATTTTGTTGATCCTGATCACCCTATTTTTCTTGCTTTTGGGCAACAAAGCTTCACCTTTCAGTTCATTTTATACTCTATGGATCCTCTAAATTGTTGTATTATACTCAGGTGACCGTTAAGGCCCTTGGGCCTCTTGTTTGACCTAGAGATTGTGAATGTGTTTGTCTGTGATGTCATGGATTTTTTCCATTGAATCCATTCTCTTTTACAATTATGAATCAATTTTTTTTCAATGTTATTTTACTCTCTGTGATAATTATTTATGATACAAATTACTGACAGAAATCATGTTTTTTTTTTAATTTTATTTTTTGGGACATTTTACAATTGAAAAATGTATAAATACATGCACACAGTTATTCATATAAAGGTTATCTCTAACTTGTGTAATTGACAAACACAGGGATATGTATCAAATCTGCTTTTATGGTGAATGTCTCTTTATAAAATATTGAGTATTTTAATGAGTATCTTTGTCATTTGGATACTAAAATTAAATAATGCATTTTTTAATAACGTGAAAAATATGATAAATACTAACAGTACAAAACCAGAAATGAATGCTGTACGTGATGTATATAGTTTTTCTTTGTACAGCGTATCATTATTAGTACATTGTAGGATCAAAAGTTTGTCAGCTTGGTTTACTTTGCTTTAAGATTCCACAATAAAACCTTTTATTAAAAAGTACATGTATATCTTATCCACAAACCAAGCTTATTACTTGTCTGTTCATCTAATATTCCATTTATTTCTGTTTTATAGTAAAACTCGGTTAAAGGGAAGTCTTGGGGACCTTTGAATTTACTTCACTGTACCTGTAATTTGTTATATCTGTATAACAAATTTGTTATAGTATATACAATGTATATAACGAATTCATTATAGTATTTATAGGGAAGTTGCAAAAAAGATTTTTTTTCCCCTTCAAGTATAACTACCAAATGTATTTTGGGAAGTATTGAACATAAGAGTTACCTTGGAGTTCAAAAATTTTCAGATGAATTAAATTTCATATTTAAAATACTTAATACAAAAATATTTTCAGTTCAATACTTTAAAAATGAAATCTTTGAAAATTCGCTATAAAAGATGTAAACTTTGTTATTTTTAACCTGTTTGGGACAAAGAATCAGTTTGCTATGTCTGTAAATTCGCTATATCTGAGTTCGTTGTATCCATAAAAATTTACAAGGATTAAGAATTTTTCCAGGGATACCAAAAAACTTTGCTATATATGTAAATTCGCTCTATCCATGTTCGTTTTAACGAGTTTTACTGTAGTCCTCACTTTTAAGCATGCAGTGTTGATTCTTACATGGTTATTTATGGTTGTGATTGAATATTTTTTTACATTAAAAATCAGTTTTCTGTCTCTTGGTTGATAACTCTGAATGTATTGTTCATGTAAAGTTCAGTCATGATTTATATTCAGCAATCTGTATATACAGTATCGGTATATCATATGTAGTTATGTTGACTAATTGGTACACATTTGGTATTTATGTAGTTAGTCATTTTGACTAATTGCTGTATTATTGGTATCTAGTAGATAATTACCCTCTAATGAGTCATGTATAAGTGAAGTTTGGTTTAGTGTGATGATTCAGGGATCCAAGTGTATAACTATCCCTCAATTTATGTGCAGGCTTTAGTAGTAGAACTCAAATTTGTGTCTGAATTTGTCACACAGTAAGTTGGATATGGAGTGAAAGTGATTGCGAGATTATGAAGACAGCTCGATTGGATGAAGGAGAAATTACATCCTAATAGACCACCTCAAGAAATTCCAAACATGCTGAATTAAGGATTGTATACGAGGTCTATTTAATAACTCTTGTTTATAATTGTTTATTCATCAACATATTTATTGAGACATGAATTTATAATCACTTGACTATGTCATGTATAACACTTTATCAGTTTCATTAATACATTTTGTATTCACAGCCTGAGGCACTTTATTATATAAAACTCATTGGCAAATAACATATCATTAAATTTTACAATATACAATTTATATATATATGCTGATAAATAAAGTTATTTTTCTACTATATTTGTTTTTGAAGTTTGTTTTCCGATATTGAAAAGAAGCCCAACATACAACTATAGTAGCCTATAGCAGATGGAATCTTGAGTAAACAGTTAAAGGCAAAATTGTCTGATTACTAATTAGACTAATTAGTCTGCATTTATCATTAGTCGAATGTAATTTAATTGAATTTTTCAAATATGGATGAAATGATTTTTATCAAGCTGTTTCATAAGTACATTACATCATAATCCACTACATAACATTATATATACAAAAAGTGGAGAATTTGTCCCTGTTTATTACAAAATTAATAATAGTTGAGCATAAATGGAGAAGTTTAAATTATCATTTAGAAATAATTTTCTGTTTTCTGCA